CGCCAAGCGCCTCCGGGCGGGGCGGGGGATAAAATTCTGCCGCGGCGCTGGAAGGGAGCCGGCGCCTGCCCTGGCGCTGCCGGCTTATGTGCCAGATGTAACCCGAGTGCCACCACAGCCACGGGCCCGGCTAAATATAAAACCGCCCCAGACCAGGCTCCCCCAAAGAGCCAGGCCACAGACCTCCTCTTGGGGGGCCTTGGGAGCAGCCCCCGGGGAACCAAACCCTAATAAAGGCTTCTGAGTGGACACAGCCCCACAGCAGCACCCCGGGCAGGGCGAGTCCCAGGGACAGGCCTGGTGGCACCTCCCAGCACCCCCTGCCAGGAACAAGGCTGAGAGGCCAGCAGGCAGCCTGGGCCCCGGCACTGGGCTTGGGCTTAGGGACAGGGAGGTCGCTGGACTGGAGAAACCCCAGCTATTTTGAGAATCCGCCAGATAGATCATCCATTTCCCCTCTGAGTCTTAAGAGAAGGAGATTATTTTCCTTCTGCACTGGTGTTCCCCCGGGAGGTGACAGATTCCGGAGTTATTGGTGCAGAGACCGTGTCTCTAAGTGTGGCAAGGATGTCGGCTAGGCAGGGGACTTTCAGGCAAATGCCCCAGGCCTGGGCTGATGGGGCCTCAGTTCTCCGCCTCCCTCCAGACCTCGCTCAGCACCCGTCTCTCCTTGTTCAAGGCCACCTGCAGGCAGTCTTCCAATGGTGTCAGTTCCAAATCCCACCATACCGACTCTGAGCCCCCAAAGCCCAGAGCACATACAACTGAACCTCTTTTGTACTTCCCAAGACCCCGGGCTGCACCTGTGCTGCCCCATGAGGGAGGAGCCCGACCCAGCCCTCCCCAAGGTCCCCCAGCAGCAGCCCCGTCTGGACAGAGTGGATGAGCAGTGCTGGGAGGGAGGGAGCCCCCGGGGGACCTGGCCCACCCATCCAGCACCCCAGAGATGGCTGCTGGGGGCAGGCCCAGTGGGGCCCAGGTTGATCATGATAGACCCAGGACCCAGACTCAGCCCAGATCTCATTAGACCCGAGTCATGGCAGAACCCAGGGCTAGATCTGACCCTAAAGCAGCCAGTGCGGGACAGCTGCTGCAGACCCACCCGCCCACGGACCCTGGGGCAGAGGCAGCTCTGAGACCAGAGCCCCCACCGGGCCTCTGCAGACACACCCACCCACAGAGCCCAGGGACACACTGCAGCCAGAACCCACCCTGAAGGGGGGCTTCCCGGTAGGGCTCTCCAGCCAGGCTTCGCTGGTCCCCACTCCCAAGGACGGTGGGACAGGCGGGGTGCGGGTGCCCAGCAGTCAGGACTGTATCCAGCCCTGCCCTGCAGTCGCTGGACGACCCTACCCTGCAGTCGCAGGACGACCCTAGTAGGCATGTCACCGTCTCTGGGTCTCAGCTCAAGGGACAGGGAGGAAGGTAGGTCCCAGGTCATTTCGGGGGTCCCCGGAAATGGCACTGGCTGCTGCTGTCAGGGGCCCATCCATGATGGCGGGAGGGGGTCTAGCACCTAAGAATTACCCAGCACCCTGGGGGCTGCTGGGTAGCTGCTATTAGTTCCACTCTGCCCAGAGGGGGCAGATCACAGAACCCCTCTGAGTCACACGGAGGGGCCGGGAAAGGGGAGCCAGATGCACCTTTGGGGCATGAGATCCCCTTCTCCCCAAGGGGACTTGTGAGAGCGGGCGGGGGTCACATGCAATGCGCTAGGAAGGGCTGGGACAGCAGGGCCCCGCGTGGGCACGGGGCCTGCCCTGTGGCTGCAGTTATATTAATAGTCCCAGGGCCCCGGGCGGACACGGCCCACATGCCTTCCAGCCCGTGTGGCCCGCAGGAAGGCGGCACCGCGTCCACTGGGAA